CAAATTCGATGCGGCCAATAAATATTCCAATGTATTCAAATTTACATAATACCAACAAGTTTATGTTAAACTTTTAACAAGCAAAACTAAACTTTAAACGAAATACATCAAACGGAAAATCGAATAGATATCATTATTGTATGAAATCGAAAAAAATACAACACAATGTCAATATTATGCACAAAACATCAAAGAGTTTGGTTGTAAAGAAGCAATTTTGATGTTAAATTTGATAGTTATAGAAAAGCCCTTATTAAGTAACATGAAGGCAATTTGACGGACAAAAGGATGCCCCTCGTTGCTACGGGCGGCCGCTGAGGGCGATTCAAAGTTTTCACTCGTCGGACATCGGCCGCCGCCCTTACTGTATCAATTTATTGAATTTCATCTCGAGTTTGAAGGATGACCACACGTTTATTGTTCTGTCGAGCATTGATTAGGGTGTAACATTGTTACAGGTATACTTTTGTAGCCAAGGGCCTGTATTTTGCAATGCTTATTGCTTTATACATCTAAATGTATCTGGAACATACACCTTATATATCATCTTTATATATTGAACATATATCGTAACATATAGGTTCTATAACAATACGGTTTACATTCTTCTGATTTAATTCATTGCTAACAAATTGACAAGTAAATATCCATCACTTTTATCGAATTTGTCACCGTCATCCTTATTAAAAGACAAATTAATATTCTGATCTAGTGGTCAGTTAAAGCACACCGCTTATAATAAATACTTCAAATTGCTACCCTCAAAATAGTTGCAAGTAGAAAATAATCGCCTCTAGCAACGCGACAATTTGTCTAGGGGGAGCTTTTCAATAATAATTCCGCGGTAAATTCGGTTTCTGACCGCATCGGCCGAGGGATACTGAAAATTAACTATCCTATTGGTTTTTTGACAGCATTCCTAAGATAGTTTCCTTATAGGCTATTAGTTACTTTATGTAGGATATGTGTATACAAGTGTACCATTTAGTACCGTCTTTTTTCATAACACATTTGTTTTTGCATATAATATTTACAACTAATTACAAAAGCACACAATTACGTTGTTTTATCCTTCATATTACATCAGGCACTCTTTTGTTTCGTGCCTAAAATCTCCTTGTTGTTTTTATTATCTTTTTAATTTGGTATTGTCGATGGCCAGTTCTTACATAAAAATTAATTAACAAAATAAATAATAATTATACAGATCTCGGTCTTGTTAATCAGGTTACTGTTTTAAATGGATATTACTTTGTGTATTAAACAAAAAAAATAGTCCTCAAATTTTGCGTTTATTTTATTAGCGCCATCTAGTGGCCGATTTTGACTGACTAAAGAGTAATGTCACTTTTTTAGTAATCTCAACTTTGAATTGCTGGTGAATTTTTCATTTAAATTACAATCATCAGTTATCGTTATTTTATTCCATTAGATAAATAAAACAGTACTGTGACGAGATAAAATACGACCTACGTTTTTCATCATTAGTGGTAAAAACGTAGTTCACCAGCAATCATAACAAGCTAACAAAACCGCTATTAAGCGAACTCATCGCTTATATCGCTGTCTTGAGTTATAACGTTGGCCAAGCGACAGATTGCTAACATTACAATAACAAATCGCTCTAGACATGGTGTCGTGTAGGTGGATGAACCTTGCTACTGTAACTGCAGTTATAGAACATCGTTGTATTGAGTAGCCAACGTAATAATGACTACTATACCCTCGCACTATAATTTAGGTTATATCAAATCGTAGACATAAGATTGGTGCGTTTATTCTCCTTTTCATGTCAGATCTCTTATTAACTTTTCAATTTCTAGCGTATACATGAGTTCTCCCATGTGATTTGCTGCACGCTAGTTGTAATAAATTGGGACAAGTTTATTGGCCATTAAAATAACAAATGAAACTTGATGTTTCTACGTGACTTATTAAAAAGTTTATTATATGAGGTTAACTACAAAATTGTCCACAATTAAATGGAAAACATCTTCAAGAATAATTACTGTATCTAAATTAAACTTTTTGTAAGTATATATAGAATTTATTTGTAAATATTACCCTACTCAAATGCATTTATGAAATTTTATTACCCTCATGTCAGTCGGGCAAAAACTTACCGTTTGTTATTAAAAAAAAATATGGCAGTAGTTATGATTTCTTTAAAAAAAATTTGCTAATTACCATACTTTATACTTTGCGTTTATTTGTTAAAAAAGCATAACTAAACACTAGAGCAGATCACGTGTATTCAGCGACCTCTCTCGGGAGAGTAGTATAATTTTATTTTCAACTCTATTTACTGCTAAGGCTCTTATTCCTTTGTTGCGCCTCGAATAGTCCTTATTTCGTGGAGCGTCTGTTTTAATTAGTACAAGGAGCGTACTTATAGTTCCTCGGAGCAACTCACAACTAGCACTAAGTGCCCGGAGCTGCGATACAACGCTTGTTTACATACCTAATTACAGGTGATTTAAATACAACGCGAAGTTTTAATTAGAAACATTCTGATCTCGAGTACTTTTACTGTTTACTAAAGTTTTTTTGTGTTCATTGGCTAGAATTATTGCAAATTGTTTTAACAAATAAATCGACTCAATTATTAGAAGAAGCAATGGTTTTTGTAAACAATGGTTTACAGTATATAATTTACCTGTAATATAATTTACTTGACTAATAATCTTATAAATGTAAACTGTAGTGTCAATCAATGATCTTAAGAAAATTCATTAGCGAAGTCTCTTCAAATCCTTTATCTAATTTTCATTATCGTAAGCTAATTAAGGTATATGGAATCTTGTATTATAAAATCTTACTTAAAATTAGATAGCGAAAGTTTAGATGGATGGATGGATGGATGTTAGAGTTTGTAGCATAAACGGCTGAACGGATCTCGTTGAAATTTGGCATAGATGTAGACGATAGTCTGAAAGAACACATAGGCTACTCGCTTTTGTTTTTAATTAATCCCACGCGGATGGAGTCGCGGGCGAAAGCTAGTGTATAAATACTATACAGAAAACAAAAAAGGTTTTAATTAAACATCCTCTGAGTTATGAATGTGGAACCTCAATTAAATCACTCGACAAATTTACTAACTCCTCACGAACGTTTGACTTCGTGGAATGTATTGAGAGGAGCCACGGATTTCCATCAAATTAAGCTTCATCCGGGCACAACTATTTATAAAGATTCTGCGCTGGGAAGGGTGCTCTATTCACTGAGTGAAATTTGACGTGTGAGACCTTGTTCGTACATTTGAATGAAACGTTTTATGTGAAAATCTATTGTGTGGAATCGGAAGACGGAATGTCTATCTCATAATCTTATTCTGTACATTTCTTATACACGTTTTATGAAGAAAATCACAACTTCAAGATTTATGGTTTGATACTAAATATTCGATTAGATTTATACAATTTTGCTGCCTTGTCGTCTTAACTAGTATACCAAAATCCTATCTTTACATATAATAAAATTGGAATGCCTGTTTTTAATATCAAATGAAAAATTTCCAAATTTGTGGAACACGTATTTGCGTTGTTGATAACGAAAAGCGCATTTAAAAATGTTTGTCTGTCTGTCTGACATAGACAGGCATATTATAGGCTACTTTTTTTTTTTAATTCCGCGCTATCAAAATGGCGTAACGGTCTTAATTTGCGCTAACGAAGGGTGCGGGCGACAGCTAGTAAATAAGTATAATACTGTCAAATAAGTACATTGTTTCGTAATAATAATAAATTAAATATAATAGCTAAAACATTTTAAAACCGAAAATACTTATCTTTAATTTCTTATTCTTATACAAGGAAGTAAAATACTCTCTCTCTCTTTTATTTTAGAATGATGGTCGTTTTGTAAGTCAATCTGAAATACAATCGAAAAGTATGAGTTCATTTATATAGATTTGAAAATCATTTCATAAATGAATACAATTTAAAGACAAATGTGACCCCATTTGAATGAACGTTCCGCTTGATTGAATTCAGGGGATCGAATTGACAAAGAAATAAAACTTCCAAACATATTTTATCTCCGTTAAATATTTTTGCAGCGTTTGTTTCCGGAGTTTAGCATTATTTTTAGTAAACTCAAGCAATATTCAACCTCTAATACAACTGAATGTTAAAAGCGTGTTATAATAAAAAAAAGATTAACAAACTGACATCCACATGCGCACACTTTAAAGTCCAAAGAAGTACGAATCAGTACGAAAACCTCCTTGCTTACATTAGCATGAACAGTATGACAAGCTCTCATCGGATTAATGCCCATATTAGTCATGCATCAAAGACCCTCAAACGGCATTGTATATGCCCTCCTGCGATTTAACTACGAACAATACGGCAAATTATAAGTCACAAGAGCTCGCTCCTTGACCTATTTACGTCAATATTAAATTACAAATCCCGTCAATGTATTCGAATATTAAATGACGCTAATTTGTGTCTTAGTTACATTATTATAAAGCTCAAAGCATCATACGTTTTAGTGATTGACTGATTACTGTGTAATTTCAGATTGATATAGGGAATTTATGTTAGTAAGTAGAGATCCGTAGACCCGATTTATTAGTATATTTTATTGTAATACAATGCTTTGCGAATAGAAAAAAGATTCACTATTATCTTGTTAGCAATGGCCACGCTGTTTATTTGGATTAAAATTATGTTTGTATTGTAAAACCTTTTGGTTGAACAAGTTAAATGTAATTGGTGTGGTCAGAAATATATTTATCATTTATCCGTTGGAACCAGGTCCAAAATAATTTGTTGTTCAATGTGTAAAAAGCAAAATCGTATAGTTAAAAGATAATAGGTTAATTATTTATTCAAAAAGGGATTTTCATTGCCTTAGTCACATATTTATTCTATCGAATCCCTTTAACATTTCCCTCTCCTATAATTATCGTATAATTCGTTACAAGTATCTGTATTTTATTCTATTTTTTTATAACTTTCGTACAGACATAGACGTTTCGTTAAAAACTTAAAATGTCTCAAATATCTTTGGAAATACGACAACCAATTTTAAACGAATTGGAGTTTTTACGTACAACGGGTGCTAAAATATTCCTATTTCCTTTCATAGGACGAACGAAGTATCAATTATTTGGATTCTACGCAATAAAATTTCTAGTTACATGCACTACAACTCAGTTGTTCCTAACGTTATGCCATACTGGCTTCAAAGATTTCTTCGAACTAATCAATATTGCACCAAATTTAGGAGTATGTGCGATATCCGCTATAAAATATACGAAAATCCACACAAATAGAGTATTGTACGATGAAATATTTTGTCATTTTAAAAATGATTTCTGGGATATCGTTTCAATTAATTCTAATGCACATATGAAAGTGTTGAAGAGATACAAATTTATATCTATGATTGTTAATAGATTCATATTTTATTATTCTATTCCTCTTATAATTGTTGTGAATTCATTTCCATTTCTTGTAATGACGTATGAGAATAGGGTGCTCGGTGAAGATTTGCATTACCTTTATCCCTTTGACGGGTGGTATCCTTTTGACAAAGTGAAGTGGTACTGGGGCGCATACATATGGGAAAGTTGCATGACTGCCCTCGTCGTTTGTGTTTATTTATTTTCTAACATGATGCAAGCTACTTATATCTTATTCATTTGTATGGAGCTAAAAATCTTGGGACATAGCCTCGAAGAATTGATAAGTACAGAGGACGTGAAAATTTTAAAAAGAGGAAATTGTAACGATATTCATGGAAGAGTTTTATTTCAGCTGAAAATTATTATTAAAAGACATCATCGTCTTGCAACGTTGGTTTTTTAATAATTAAATTTACACCCTAAAGAGGGTCTATAACATAATAAGTGTGGTATTGTTTCAGGATGTCTGCCTCTCTCGACAAAGTTTTAGGTGACGCAATGTTGCTCAATTACTCGCTTGGGGCGATATTTATTTGTCTTACTGCATACACTTTTACAGTAAGTAACAACGAGAAGTAAATTAATCTCAGTAATATTATAAATGCGAAAGTTTGGATGAATGAATGCTACAGTTTGTAGCTTAAACGGCTGTACGGATCTCTATGAAATTTGGCATAGATATAGAGGATAGTCTGAAAGAATAAATAGGCTATTTACTTTTGTTTTTTACAATTCCACACGAAAGCTAGTTTAAAAATTGATTGAAAAAAGGAATTAAATTTAAAAAAAAACTTCGTCGCACATCGTTTAGATCTAAACAAAGACATTATCGAATGAATTTTGTATTACATCTTGTATTATAATAAACTTATATCTTTTTTCAGGTAGTAGATGACTTTTATCAGTCCGTACGTTACTTTTCCTTCTTCATGTCATTGCTCGTTGAGAGTTTCAATCAGTGTATAGTTGGACAAATTTTAAGCGACCATGTAAGTATTCGTTTAGTATGTTTAAAACGTATTGAGATGAAATTATAGCTAGCCTTTCACTTGACTTTGAACATTTTACTTTGATCATAAATTGCGGCTGTCTAAAGTTATAAAAAAAACTAGCATTCGCCCGCGACTCTGTCGACGTGGAATGAAAAAAAAAACAGAGTATCCTAAGTGTTCTTCCAGACTATTCTCTAGGTCTACGCCAAATTTTATCGAAATCCGTTCAGCCATTTAGGCTACAAACTCTAACAAACATCCAACCATCTAAACCTTCGCATTTATAATGTATCTTCTATCTTCCACCTCTATATATATCTTCTTTGCTTTTTTAGTTAAAGACAAATATTTCTTATTAAAAATTTATTGCAGAGCGAAGACTTGACTGAATCGATCTATTCAGCAGACTGGCCGAATGCAAGCCAAGAGGTGAAAAAAATCATGCTAATGTTCATGATGCGAACTCAGAAACCATTTAAACTAACAGCTAATGGCTACCTTGTTATGAACCTGAACACATTTAGCGCTGTAAGTAAACACATCCTCTAAATATTTCATAGAATATTTTTTCAGTTTACTAAATAAAATAATAATTTAATTTCAGATATGTAGCACTTCTTATCAATTCTTCAATTTGTTGCGAACAGTTTACCCTTAGTACTATATTTTTTTCTGTATTATTGTTACGTTTTCCTTGACTAACTTGACACATTAAGAAATAATGAATAAATAGTCACACTTTTAGATGTAATAAATAAGTGAAGTACGCTTTTTGTATTTTTTTATATCCATTTTTTATCGAATCAACTAATGATTGTGCATTGTAATCGGAAGACAAAAGAAAAATAATCCAGAGATATCGTATAAAAACATACCTACCGAAACACTATCTTTATTCATAATACACGAAAATTGTTAAATCACATTCACTGATAATTTACAGACATTTTAATTGATAATTTTGTAATTTTATATTAGAAAAAATACGTTTGTCGCTGTTCTCCATAATGTCAATCACTTACTGAAAAATGTAGGTAAATATTTTTAAAACTCTATGTGCTGTTGGTGTTGACACTTCCATTTGTTATAATAATCTAATGTTTTCTACAAAATAATTATTCAGTAAAAATTATAAACAAATTTATATCCAAATCACGATTGTATTGCACGTCCAATAATCGTGATATAGTTTTTAATATTATCGTAATTTATTAACACATTATTATTTTAATTACTTGTGTAAAACATATAAATTAATGCAATTTCGAAAGACATTAAACTTAGAAGCCCAGAAAATGGGGCTTAAGATTTATTCGATACCACTTTTTATATTAGTTTTCAGTTCTGTTATATTAGCGACTGGTGAAACCCAAATCGAGCCACGTAAGTAACGTTTCAGTGTTTACAGAAATGCGAAAGTTTAGATGGATGTGCGTTAGAGTTTCTAGCCGAAACGGCTGAACGGATTTCTATGAAATTTGGTATATATGTAGAGGATGATAGTCTAGAACACAAAGGCTACTAATTTTTGATTTTTTTTAAATTCCAGGCGGAGTCGCAGGCGAAAGCTAGTTAAAAATAATTTAATGTTTTTTTCCTGAAAAAAGATATAAGATACAGACCCTCACAATGCTTTTTAAGTTACCGTTCTTATCTAAAAGTAAAACAAACGAATATAAAAGAATTAGCAGAATTTTTATTTTCATATAAATCAATGCGTGGTGCTTTCGCTATCAAAAATTAAAATCTCAGTTTTGTCACATCAATTCTCAAAATATTTGTATATTTAAATTAGTTTGCATATATATTGATTGTACATAGGCCGGTACAGATACTATAACATATTTTTACCGACAACATTTTTATGGTATGTGTAAAACGTTAAAAATGTTTAAATTTAGTTTAACCTCTACATTTCATTTTAGCGACGACTGTTAGCAAAGGAACAAGCGGACCTGTGGCAAGTAGTAAGTATAATTGTTGCTTAAAACACTTCAATAATCACGACAGCTCTTAAGTAATATAAATGCGAAATAATCTGGTAGAACAAATATGCTACTTACTTTTCTTTTCTTAATTTCACACGCACGGTGTCGCCGGCCAGTAACATTTTCTATGCCTTTAGTGTTTTGTTCCCATTTCTTTATACATATAAGTTAAATTATAATACGCTTCAATATCAGCTCACTATATGTCCCCACAGACGGACTCGGAGTCTACCCTAAGTTAGGGGTGACAAAGTCTTAGTCAACCACGCTGACCCAGTGCCGGTTGGTTGGTAATACGCTTAATATTGATATATTGTTAAAGATGGTGATTCAGAATCCGAATCGTATGAAGACTCAGGATCAAGTGAGAGTGATGAATACGATTCATATGAGGACTCTGGGTCTGACGAAGATAATGGAAATGTAGGAGCTACAGGTTTGACATAAAACGTTTTATAAAAACGCCATCTATCGATCGGACTAGTACATCTGAACATGTATGGATACTGCTCTAAATTTTAGTCATAGTAAGACACGCACATCTTTGACTACACTATCGCACTTCTTTTTAGTCGCGCTTCCTATGAGGTAATATGGAGGTAGGCACACTACTCAGTTGAATTAGCTGCGAAACAATTAACAATCGTACAACAGTTGTGCGATAGTTTAGTCTAAGTCGTGTGCCCGCCCTAAGGAAAATCCGATATTTTATTTGTCAAAAAATAGTATCTCATTTGCAATTAAATTGATAAACAATTTTCCAGCCATATCTGCAGCCAACGCAGTTTCCAATGGTGAGTACTAGAAATACGTATTTAACTAGAACATTTATTTCTAAGCGACTGTAAGATTAATATTCCTTCAAAACAAAAAGAAATATCTAAGAAAAATAATAAATCATATCTATTTGTGTTGTTTTTATCCAACTCTATAAAAACACAGAATTTATTACTAGAAACTTTTACGCTGACATACGCTTAACTTTTGTAGCGTGGGTTTTTTAAAGTCTGCTATGTTTTACGAGAATATTAATACTTTTTACAATTCCAATTTAACTATACAATATAACTAACAATATAACTATGCCTCTTTTAAAAATAACAGTAGACCAGAACAAAGAAGTTGGGACAAATTATGTCACAGGGTGATTTAAAAAGCGAATTGTCGCCCATCTTTATTAAAATCAGGATTAACACATTACACAAAACACATTACAGGTGTTGGAAAGGGAATTGGAAGCAGTGCGTCTGCCTTAAGCGCCGTACAAGGTATTACAT